CTATAGTCATCACTCATCTCACTAAAGGTGGTAAATGGCGCGTTCTTGAAAGGAACATTATGTTCAAACATGAATAATTCCTTACTTTATTATGACATTATCTATCTTCACTTTCTTGATTTTCAGTACGCGTAATATTTCTTGAAATTTTTCCTCTTGATACTTAAAATTATTTGCAAATAAAATATTTGTTATTGTTATCTAAAACTGTTACGATATCTTAGTTTTGACAAACAAAATTTAGTTTGTATATATTTACTTTTAATACTTATAATTATTAAAAAATAAAATATATTATTTATTACCATATCTAGAATCATTAAGATATGCTCTTATTTCTAATGAACAAAATTTGGGAAATTGTAAAACTAAATGCGCTTATTGTTTGAAGATACATTCTTTAATTAATCGTAAGTTGTATATAATTAAAAATGTTTTTCTTAAAGTATCACAATTTAGATTAAAGTGAGGAGGGCACTATAAATCTTCAATAGTACATTATCTCTGTAATCATAGCTTTGAAACATCTATTAATTTACGTTGTTGACGTAAATATCGCACGATATGCTAGATTTTTGGTACCCAAAGAAAGAAATAGAAAATACTGGAAAGGAAGAACAGCAAAGGATATTGTGCTCTTCTTTGATGTACCTCGTCTGTCAGAGCTAAACGGTCGCGCTTCTCTCTTCCTTTCTGATCTCGCGGGATGGGATATCATCTCTCTCTCTCTCTCTGTCCTGTCTTTGTATTCTATTCACCTTCCCACAGCTTGACGAGGAAGGAGCAGCATTCCCCATTACTGATAAGATACTGATCGCGATATATGTACACCCACTGGCACTAATCCGTGCGGTGATCTGATAATTGAGCGAACGCTGGACACCGGAAATACGTAACAGCCGTTACTGTCACGGTAACGTCGATGCGGGATTACGAGTTGTTGGTCGCCCTTGCTCGTAAGCAGGGTCAATTTGCGGTACCCACAAATCACGCCAGAATCACCGGAAGTGTCCGGATTGACACGATTTTACAAAGCTATAGTGAAAACAATGCACTCTTTCTGCAAAAGATTAAATACGATATTGTAGAGATTATCGGTTTTTTTTAACGATTTATGTGTAGGGAGAATATAAATTGAATAAGCCGGTTCTTAGAGAGCTAAAAAATAATAAATTACAATAAATCTTTGTATCAAATTGTGTAAAGAAAATCACGCGCAGAATTTTAGATTCTGAAATGAATCAGTAATAAAGCGTCTAGGGCATTTACCGCGCTTTGAAATTTGCGAATGTTAATTATTTTAATTTTAATTTAGTTTAATTAATCTAATTTTAACATTTTAAATTATTTTTCTCGTAATTATTAAAATTATTTCTATAATTTTTAGTGAAAACCATATGTAAAAGCGATTGAAATAATTGAATAAAAACAATGAAAATAATTGAATAGAAACTGAGCTACTAATTTGTAGTTCGCTGTTACGAAGGAAGTGTCGCTTGCGTTTTGCAATTAGTTATATTGCATAATGAAAATTTAGCACCATTGTGAAAATTAGCAATTATTTATTGTTTCTATTTCGAAGCGGAACATGTTTTAATTACTAGCGTAAAAGCTCACCACCAGTTTATAATTATTGCAGCGACACCGGCTAACTTTCCGACTAACTTTCCGACTGATATCGAAACAGTTTATCGAGTGGCGACAATTTAATTGATCATCTGCCTCTTCATCATCGTAATATAGTATTATCACGTTCGCAATATTTTAACGTGTTATTTTAATTACATGGATTTCGATTTCATTGGTGCGGTAGCTGACAAATACAGTTGTACGTATCTACGTATTTCGACCGAAGCCACTATACCCCTTTCGGAACTTTGCGATAAATCTCGATTAATCGAGGAGCCATCGCGCGGATGCTGCGCGTGACCAATCCCGAAGAAGCGATTGCCAATTGCCGCTCGATTCCAGGACAGACCTTCCCGTTTAGTTAACGTAGTCGCTTCTTTGATTAGTTAATCCATTCTCATCTTTGTTCGCAAAAGGGGATAGACAAGGCGACGAGATGTGCAGTTCCCTGGAGGGTTTCCTGCCGTAGACACTCTTCTCCCTCCCATCTCTTCTGTTCCCTTACTCTTTACAGGATCTCCTGCACTCCATAGACTGAGATGAGAGCGATCGCTCGGTCGGAAAATCGCTTTAAACCGCGCCGACTAATATTAACTTTCTCTTATCGTTTCGTGAAATTCCCGAACTCTTTTTTTCCCTCCATCGCGCATCGGGATCGCAAAAGCTTTCCCTTCCCATGGGGTGCACGCTGGACGGCGCTCCGAAATTTCCTTATTTGCCGTTCGGACGGTCGGCTTTGTGTAAACTTCGTTTTATCCCGCAAACGGTGAATGTTTTCCTCCTTTCCACTTTCACGATCGATATGTCTGGAATTTCGTAACGAGCAAATAGATCAACGATACAAATCACGACGAGATTCGAGATGGTCACGACACATCAAGGTTGCATGTAATTAACCATCTTGCACATACCGTTGTGATCGATTACTTTTGATCCGTGAAAAAACGAATGATAACTGTTAAAGTTCGATGACTTAGCAGCACAAAAGAGGAGAAGGAAAGACGCAGGAGAAAAGAGCTGCGATTGGCAAAACGGTGCATCAGGTCACCATTTCAACCGACAAACTTTATACAAACAATTTTAGGGCGCAACAAACTGTCACGCTCGCAATAAAACAGTAATGCTTTTCACTCATATAACCAGTCGCATTCTACAACGAGCATAATTCACGCGAGAAGCGTGACAGCTAACCGCCCGCTAAAGTGATATGCATCCTGCACGTGCGAGCATATGTGAAAAAGCAAAAGTTCCGTGTGCGCTTTTATTGAAACGCTTTATATTTGGAAATATCATTTTGAATTAAAATTTTTTTATTAGTCCAATCCAACATTAATATTGCTTTTTAATCATGCGTATTTGATGTGTTAATTTATATTCTCTGGTATATAGTATTATTATTGTAGCACACATTTTAGCTAATTTTAAACAAAATTTTAAAAAATATAAATAAATTATCTCATTCCACTTTACTACGATTTTTACCAGACTTGTTATTAAATGTGTAACTTTGGTGTATATAATAATGCAGGTAAGTTACTAATTCAACGAGATAATTGATAAAGTAACTTTTAAAAAATTTTATAAAGACCTATGTATCGCTTAAGTTTAGTGCATTAACAGATAACAAGCTTCCCTTCCGCTATTAAATTTAACGAATAGTTTCCAAATCATTAGCAAAAGCTTCCGGTTTATGTTATTGTAAGCTCGACTTATGTCGATTCGCTCTCCAAATCAAAACAGAATATTTAGATCTCCTGTTAAATTGCTTAGAAGATTGTATGATGCATGCATCCGTCAGAATAATCAGAGAGATTGTAAAATAAAATCGAGAGTAATGTTTTATATACTTTTATATACTTCCGTGGGGAAAACACCCGGAATGCAAAATATTGAGACTTTAATCAAGGGTTCGTAGTGAAAATATTGGCCGACGAGGGAGATTCAGGAATAAAATTAGAAGAAATTTGCGCGTGCGAGCTCTCCAGCATCAGATGAATCGACGGATAAAAATTCGCATGACGCGATCGCGGGAACGATGTACGTCCCAAGGGTAGGACCTCAAACACTCATAATCCGGACAAAATTACTGCGTGCCGGTGAAAAGCTCTGCGCATAAGTTTCGAAAGCGAACGAGCCTGTGCACGGTCAAATATGTACTCTGGGGTAACCAAACACACCAGTAGTCTTTTATACGTGAGCAACGCGCTCACAGCTGTATGTGCTAAAATACTCATACGTCGCATGCAACCTACGCTTCGCAAAATGCAGCCGTTAATCCGGCCGTTCAGCTGGAGTGCGCGAGCCTCACTGTGAAAAATTTCGTCGGGTAGCGTAGATTAAATATAAGTACGTGTAAAATATATGTCCGTATATTCAGAAACATTCCTCGCATTTTTTTTCATGCGATTCAATTCGGATTCGAACTACAGAGATAAATAGTCATCACTATAATATAAAAAATAGTTTCTTCTCGACGTTACTTTAACAAAAATTGTATTTGACATTTGTGTATATTGAAAGTATATCGAAAATAGAAAGTTGGAAACTTGCCAGCGATGATGGATTTCCATGAAATTATTGCTAACGGCAAATCGACTTCAAATTTGTCAGCCTGGAGCTGAAACGATATTCAATAACGATGACATGGTCTGTATATAAAATAAATCATATTCATAGGGAACATGCTACAAAATATTCGGCCCAATATTTTTCCATTCGAGATATGATAACTTCTAACTCACTTTGCGACCATTCGCGGTTGTAGTATATATGTCGCCGCAATAAAATCATCCTCCGCTTCACTTTGCACAGATAAAGTGCTTAATATTTTAATCGTTCGTTTAACGAGTGCGATGCCCGTGAGAATATTTCGCGCTTTGCAACATGTCCAATCAAAATAGTCGATTGGGTTCTGGGTCGCGAAATAGTCGACTGAATAAATCCGCTCGCGAAATCGTTTTATTCATCGATTTTATGAATAAATATTATTGCGCAAACATATGTAATCCTTGAGTATAAGAGCTTATAAGTGCAATTTATTTCGTAAAATTACTAAAAGCTCTTCTTGCCAAAATCATTTTATAATAATTTGTGTATGAATTTTTATTTTTATTATTTTTAGAATTAACAAACGTGAATCATTGCCTTGAATATGTATATTATTTATTGAATGAAAAAGAAAGCCATTTCCTATTGAATTATTTCTGCTATTATCCGCGTGACTACGATAAATTACATGAGTACGAACCGATAAAGTGCATATAGGAGTCTTTGACCTGTTAACATTATATTAATAACGGCATATTGTTTTTTCCAGGCACGCATGTTTAATATACCGCATACACAACATAAATTTTCTTTTCATGTTGCAGCATAATGAACAACAACAGTGTGGAGCAGCCGGATCCAGACAACATAAAGATGTTTGTGGGGCAGGTACCTCACGATATGGACGAGAATGATTTGAGGACGATGTTTGAGGAATATGGTCGAGTGCATCAGATAAATATCCTGCGAGACAAGATTACCGGCAGTCATAGGGGTGAGTGATTGAGCTTCTTCACATTTACGATTGTACGCTTCAAGTCTATGTCTAGTTGCAATAAACTTTTGCATTTAATGGAATAATAGTAAAAAAATAAATATAAACTTCTATTTCTTCTATTCTATTTCTTCTATTTCTTCTATTTCTTTGTTATTTTAGTTAAAGTTTATTACAGTTTTTTCAATTATAACAAATGAATATAAAATTATATTTTATTGTATATATTTTACTAGAAAAATTATAATATTAATTTCTATATTTTTTATTGTAATTTAGCTAATTTATTTAATCAGTTTATTATTTTTTTTTAATATTCTCTTTTATAAGTGTGAAAAATGCTTTTATAATATTTTTTTTTATCAAAGGATGACTTTGATAATTATGATTATTGCATTATGTTTACTCTTTTAAATATAATTTTCTTTGATTTTTTTTTATTATGAATGAATAGATAAGAAAATGCAGACTTGTATAGAATTTTTATTTTTTTATCGACAAATCTTTTTTTCATTCTTCAATATTTATGTGACAAAACGGAATCGAGTATGAAAATTGGTTTACATGCTTATGTATGAACATTAGCACAATAATTGACATTTTGAAGTTGACAAAACATGTTAAAATGAATATGTGAATGGTTATGGAAAGAATGAAAAAGTCTGGGAAAATGCATTTATGACATCAAAAAGAATGATAAAATGTTAAGACGTGATCGTAGATTAATTCTGGATATATTCGGCGATAAATTAAATCTCTTTATAGAGGATATAAATAGATTTTGTATCTTATTGTTTCGTACTTCCTGCAATAATTGCAATATAATTACGATAATATGATAAGCATATATTATGAAGATGATATTACATGTGCATATACGTAAAGTTTATATGCATTATGTATAGGAGACGGATATGATGATAATATTCAATTATCAAATAATTGAAATTCCAATTTATTTCATTTTTGAAACTGTTCTTGAAGTTGAATTATGCCAATAAATTCACTGAATAGGTTAATTCGTTGGAAATCATATTTTCCATTAAACTGATCCCTCAACGTTATATCGAATTTTCATTATAATTGACGTTGTTGCATTTTACTATTATTGATGTAGTCTCGTAATAGAGGACTGAAATTAGGTATTATTCTGAATAATTTGACTTTTTAAAATTCCATTCTATTTATTAATTACATTAATTATACACAGTATATAATAATTATAATAAATTTTATTCAATTTTTATCAAGTATTACAAATTTTCTAAATTGAAAATATGAAGTAGGTAAGTATAAATAAGAAGAAATAACGAGAGAATGATGATTTCAGGATCATTATTAATCATTATTAATCATTAATTTCAAAATTTTTTTGTGGGATTAATAAGACTATAGTATTGAAAGAAAATTACATTGATTTCAACAAATATTCATATCAAATAAAGGAAATAAGGAAAAGCAAATTTGTACACAATAATTAATATATAATAGTTAGAAACAGTTATTGCTACAAGTCTTCTCGGTATATTGATCAGAGGGCGAGAAAGCAATCCCATGAGACCTTCTTCCGGGGACTGTCTCCCCACGTCGGAATACAGGCGCGCTTGTAACGTGGCTGTCACTGAAATATACACGTGCTCTCTAATAACGAGCCTTAACGCTTGCTAAACGTCGTTCGCACCAGTGAAAGTTTATGCAATTACTTTCACTGTACAGATGACTTCAAATTTGCGGCCGATGTGAAAGTTAGGTATTGTGTGGTAACCCGATTGCCTAATGTGTATGTTAGGAATATCGATTTCTGTGCGAGACGACCAAAGTTCTCCATGGATATATTGCCAAGTATAATTACGATCGAATCGCTGTAGAGTTTATCCGTATGATGAACAGAAAAAGGAAATATCCTATTGTATTATCGTTTAGCAATATATCATTTTAGAAAATTTTATTAGATTTATTAGATTTATAATTTTATTAGATTAAGTATACTTTGTATTAGAAATTTAAAGAAATTGTATATTCACTAAATTCAATTGTATTAAATTTTTATAAATATATTAAATTTCACCGATCACAGACAACGAAATTTTAAAAAAGTTACTTTTCTTAATTAAAAAATTATTAATTATATGTGATATGATAATTTTTCAAACCAGCAACCGTTTCCCTGCAACTAATTTTTAAATAATATACGTGTAATGCGCGTGCATGCGTGCGTGCGTGCGTGCGTGCGTGCGTGCGTGCGTGCGTGTGTGTGTGTGTGTGTGTGTGTGTGTGTGTGTGTGTGTGAGAGAAAGAGAAGTGTCAAAGTTCTATTTCTCTAAAGTTGTTTTATTGTATTTCTTAAATCATAAAATTATTTACTATAATTATTGCAGAAATTATTTTTAAAAAATTCTGTATATTATTTTGAAAATAATCGATTGTCAAATGTATGTTATTTCACAGTTCTTGGTAATCTAAATGAATTTTCTTCAAGCACGCTTTAGAAATCTTCCATAGATAAGTAGATCTATATGTAAAATGTACGCGATGCACTATCCGAGTCGGAAGGCGCGAAATGTTAGGATTCTGAGAACTTCCGGAATAATTAATGTGAGCGAATTGTAAACGTCATGCGCACCTGCAAAATTGATGGCGGCAGGCAGTACAACTGGGATGAAATTCGTTCCCCATTGTGAAAATTTAACTTGATTACCATGACGTAATGGTGAATTAATGTCCCGCTCGCGGGCCGTTTGTTTAATGCACCGCATTTTAGATTTCGAAATCTCTGTCAACGTGGAGTTTCAATTTTACAATAAAACGAGCTAATTACCGTTTCCCAATTAACTTTTAGTTGACAATCATCATATTAGGCAATCTTCTCGTCATATTCCTCATTAAATTACAATTAATGTTATATAGAATGTCTTAAAATGAACTGAATTAACTTTATATTAGTTTATCAATCATATTAGTTTATCAATCATAATTGGAGTTCTATAGAATTTCATCTGTAAGCAATAAAAAAACACACACACATACACACACACACACACACACACACACACACACACAGTCGATATAAATTATAATACTTAAGTAAAATGTATACCGAAATAATAACTCGACATGGGATGAGTTTGCTCGTCTGTCGCTGGCCAAACAGTCAGAAGGTAAATTCCACAGTGCATCGAGGCGTTTTATCTCGACGGTGGAAATAAAACACTAAAATTTCCAGAAATTCTATATTAATTAAGCCGCGGAGCCAAGCTTGGCATGAGCTCTACTAAAAATTAACAAGAGGTACCTGTGGAATATATTTGATTTACACCAGGATAAATTTAAAGTTTAAATTATTCACAGGAATACTCGTAATGTCGCATAATGAAAAAAATTGCTTCGGCTGTTCCATCGGTAATTATAATACTTTAATCCTCATTTATTTAATTTTAGTCGCTTTCTATAAAACCACAATTGTAATATAACTCTATTACTTTGATAAAAAAATATTTTAATTAAAATTAAATATAGAAAGCATAAAATACAGTATAATATAACTAAAAGAATTTCTTTTAAATTTCACTCTTGATTAATCAAATTACATATACTTGAATCATACATATATAGAATCATATTCACTCTGTATTTTTATGTGGATGACATCACCCTTGCAATTGATAAAGAATGTACTAACACGTTATTGAAGTCTTTCAATACATATCTCCGCTTACAATTTACAATTTAAATGGGAGAGGGGATGTCAATAATTAAACAAAGTATGAATTTAATTCATAATTGGTATAAAAAATTTATTTGTTTTAAGTATAGAAAGAGTATAATTGCTGTTGATTTTAATTATTGTTAATTTACTGAATTCTGTGAAACTTGTCTCATCTTCGTAACGATGTACCTTATACATGGTGATTCATTGAATGTATGTATTGTAGAATTTTATTTCGTATAAATGTTAATTGCATGCGACTTATTGTATTGATATATCAGTTACATTACATATTGAAGAGGGCCAGAAATAAGACTGAAAAGTTTATTAATAGCTTTGAGATAGATTTTCTTTATTGTTAATAAACTGAATAACGTTATCCAGTATTAGTTTTTATTGACTTTTAATTCTTGTTAGATTTATTTGTCAGAGTCTTATATTTCTGTTACAGTTAAGTCTGTTATTAATCAAAAAATTTTCAATTAAATATGTGTCAATATAATGACATGTAAAATATATTTTTTATTAATAAACATTCACAAATTAGATACAGTTTATACTTTAAGCCATATAGACATTATGAACAATGTAGACAATATGAATATTTTAGCAAAACTATATTATCAAAAATAACAGTGAAAGTTCTTTTGAAATTTTTTTTTTAGTTTACTTGCTTTGCGATACTGCTTTATTTAATCTATTGGATCTATTGGAAAAAGTATTTGATAGCTAATAAGTTTTTCATATTTAATTTTTTAAATAAATTTTATAAAAGTATTTCTTTTTATTTAATTAATTAACTTATAGTAATGTATGTAGTACACAATAGTTTCATTTTTTGAATTATTTTATATTATATACTTAATTTACTGTGATGTATTAAGTACTGTGATGATATTGACATTAAGAGTTTTCTACTACAATATGCATATTAAGGTAAACTAATCTTATTATTATAGAAAATAACTTCGCAAAACATTAACATAATTAAATTAGGTATTATCATATTAATTTAGGTATATTCATTCTTGAAATACGAGATTTATGCGAAACAGATTAAACGGTGAAGTCATCTGCTTTGAAATCAATATCTATTGCTAAAGTGAGCAATCCATGGAATGTTCAATTTGGTGGGTCAATAGGAGACAACGAACTCGCGGCAAACTTCTTTTATGCCCGATTAAAACAAGTGCGGAATCGTGTTCGCAATGAAGACCTTCGAGATTGCCATCGTAGCCAATATATCGGAATCCCGAAAGTGTCCGACTGCGCCGCTTCTTGTCGCAAAGTAGTG